TTCGCGTGCAGAGCTGGAAGACCGAAATCAATAATAACGTTTCTGTCAGGAGACCTTTGACATCATTCTCAAGTGAATCCTCCAAAACAAAAGAATATAATCTAAAGGGCACCCCTACACTCTGTGATCCAATTCTGATAATCCCTGTACTTACAGTAGTTAGTAAAATATTGATTATAATTTAAATTCATTGATCTGTATAATCGTACGAGCGAAAACAGGTAATTCAGCCATTTGAAAACGTTTCTGAAATTCCCTTGCAGGTGATCAAAACGTTAATAGCCATCGTTGTCTGTGTTGATTCATGGCTTGTCCAGTTGATATTTGTTTGAATAGAAGCAGTATTGCGTTGTTCAAGCTGACATTATCAATCAATTATCCACTTCTCAAAACAAACGGCAGGCGATTATAAACAAACCCCAAACAGTCATGTTTTTGCAATACAAGTGTATCTGGGTTCACAACATTTAAGTGTCCTTATTTATTTGCAACACGTACACGTAGATCGTAGAAGGTGTGGTTTGTTTTGTCTGATAAACGAAGGAAATCACAGTTTTGAAATGACTGATTAAAGTAAAACCAGCTAAAATCGTGCCTCCGCATGCGGGCGGAACAACTGAGTCTCATCACAAAGTTACCGTGCAAAGATCGAAATCAGACTGTGTTGCACTGACTTAGTAAGAGAGGCTGGACGAGCTCTAGAACCTAGCAAACTCTTGTAACTTTACTTAATAAGTACTAATTAATAAATAGAAGCACTACTGAGAACAGTATAAGAGCGTAGAGCGTTGTCATATGTGCATTGTAGAGGTCAATACACGATACGTCAGTGATTTACAGCCATGTTAACAAACATTATACCACTAATTGAAATTATTATTCTAGCTATGGTTTGTGAATAAATATTATACAATAGGTTTTGATCCCATATAAACACTCCAAAAGTTCAGTTCTGAAGCCAAACCTATCCCAACCAGAACTTAAACTTAGTAAAATTTCTTAAGATAAGATTTAAAGAGCGCAGCAGGATACAAAATAAGGAAGCACTTTATATCAGGAAGCCAGTTTTTTACGGAATTTTGTATTGATCGTTGATCTGTAAGGTTCTTTGCGTGCTTGACGATTTAAAATCAGTGGGAGGAGTCGAAAAGTTTTACCGGAAACTTTCAACTGCAGAATGAGCTGCCGCCTCGACAATAGCCCCTGGCTGTTTGATCGCATATCAGTCAAGAAGAAAGAAACTTCCACCGGCACGTTTTCTACGACCTTCTTCAGCTGTGAATTTAGGTCGCTTGTTGTGAGTAGCAATCGTAAAAGGGGATGCTTCTGAAATTAACGTCACTATTTTTGTTTTGTTATTTTTATATTGGTAATGGCCATTAAGACACTTTCGGTAAATAATTCTGAGATTTCATGAAGTGATAAAGTGATCATCTCACTTAAAATTGATTTGAGAGAATAATCTTTGCCATGTTGGACAAATGTAGTCAGAAACGTTAACTTAAGTAACTGAAATTCAGTTAACGCACAAGGCAGATAAAAAAAAAGTTGCAAGAAAAACAAAGTTGATACTTTGTTTCAAGTGTTTAGCTCCGTAGCCGGTTAATAAAGAGTTTTAGAGTCCCCACTCTTAACCGCACTTCAAGGAAACTTCAAATATCCATAAAAATAACCCAGAATGTTTTGGTCTCAAAAGCAACTGCCTGTACATTTAATCTCTGCCAATCGCCTTGATGCTTTTCTTGCTCGGTAACAAAGTATTGGAAATTTATGTTATTTCAGGGGCTTTGTTGGTATCCCAAATTAGCGATTGTAGAAACTTGCATAGATAAATTAAGAATTGATAATCTACTTGCCTCTCCTGAGTAAAACAAAAAGGCAGGCCACCATCACCACCAAGACAATGGAAAACGCTGCACAAAATGAAATAGAGATTCTCGCCTTGGCCATCCTCACAGCGCCGAGCAAACTTTACTAATGTCTCTGAACCGTTTGTAACTGAAGTTTGTTTTTGATCTGCCTATTATGAATATTGCCTTACGATTCGATCGGATGCATATGTATCTACCGTCGCGTGATGACACTAAGATAACCCTTTGTTTCAATGATCTTTACTGCAATGGAAAGGTCATCGCAGAATGTTCGAGGAGCAGGCCGCCGGACATCACGAAAGCTAAATAGTTGGTATTTCCTTCTCGTAGCCCGCGTTCAGGGCGTTTTTTCCGTCTTCATTTAAAAAATTGAAACCTTTTTCTCTTAGAAAAATGATATGTGGAATTTTCTACAGCCGCTTTTCATTTGGCGGCCGTAGTTATCTTCATATACCAAAGATATACTACGACAACTTCATTTAAAGCCAATTAGCTGCTACATATTAAAATGTGAATTGTTTTTTATTCTAAAAATAAGCTGTGGAAGCGAGAGGGCCGGTGGGGAATTCGCGGAATCTCAGTCGCTTCTCGATAAATATGTTCTTAAACCGTGACATTGCCAAATGCCATAAAAAAAGTTTAAAATCTACCCTTTTCGATTACGCATAGGGGGTTTCAAGAGGTTTAGAGATTCCTTTTCAAGTATTTACAGGACGATCAAACGCCTCTTCATGAGTCCAATTTGTTTGAAAGAATTAGAAACTGCTCAGGGCTATTTTGAATCGTTCATTAATCTATTTCACGTGTCATCTCGGACAACACGTGTTCGACGATGGTTTTTTTTTTTTTTTGGACTTCTCATGCTAACTCACTACGGACATTTTCACCACAGTGAGTGTGCATCGCATATTTTAAAAAAGAGTTTGGTATACCAGTTTACTAGCCAGTTAGTTATGTTACTCGGAGCTCCTGAATTTACAAGTAGGCTTCCAAACCTTCGTATCATTCGCCCTTCTCTTCGAGCACGTTTACGACTCTTTTCAAAGGAAACAGGACACAGTGCACGTAGGTTATAAACACCTAGTGTAGCTTTTCCCTCGCCAAAGAAAGTTGGTCAATTAATTATGAATTATAGTTGTCCTGAATAAAAGGAGGATCTCGGCAAACAGCAGCTTGACTATAATTAGCTTTTCACGTTTTTGGGCTTGGATCTGGAACGCTGATTAAAATCTTAAATCGTGCGAAAGGTGAAGGTCTTTTCAGTTGATTGGATTACACATATTTACATGTTACCTCAGTTCACAGTGAAGCACTGTTCAGATTCACCAGTATATGCAATTTTAAGAATAAAGAAATTTGAAAATATTTAGTCATGCTGACAGATATGCTTTTACTTATCCTTTTCTTACTTTCAACTATTTTACATTCTAAAAAAAAGTTATTCGAGAACTTTGACCAAAATGGCCGGAATTACGAATAGCCCCCATAGTCCATCAGTGAGGGGGGTGTATGGCTCACTTAGGAACAAACGAAACTTGTATAATCTTAATCTTTCATTATTTAGCATCGTAAAAATACATGACAGCAAGGATAGAACGGTAGCTTTCAGTTGGTAAATCGAATTTTAAATTTGCCCCTCATGCCCTTCTTTTGGCCGCCATCTTGGATTTTTTCTGACCTGAACCCTCAACAACTAAGCCTTTCTTTGTTCGTTTTTTTTTTTTGTCTTAAATTCACGCGATTCTTTTCTTAGAGCAACTGCATCATGATCCACACAAGAGGGAGTACTAGATCCTTGTTGCGAGCATTACACACAGTCTACAGATCCTTAAAAGACTTCAATGGATTAAACTAATATGACGTTGGATTGGATGAGCAAGGGTTCACTACAGTCAATCGTTGCCTTCTTTCCGGCCTTGCTCTTGGCCTGCAGTAAGTCATCACTTACTTCTGTCACTTCTGTTGTCGCTTCGAATACCCGCGTCTTCTTTCCATTGATTGGTAATTACATCGTCGAGCATATCCACCAGCTTTTCTACAGCTTTGATGTCTTCTTTAATGCGAGTTGGAGCCAACTCCTTATGGATGTAGGTCTGGGATGAAATACTAGACAAATGCTCACCAAGAAGCTTCCTGTACACCACGCCTTGTGTCACTGAGCACCCATCCCTCCATCTCGGCAAAATTGGCGCTCAGCCCGATGTAACCTCCTCCCATCTTGCAGTCGAGATTAATGGCGTCCTCAGTGGTCTTCATCATGACCTTTGTTTCGTCCAAAAAGGATTACGTCCCCAACGGAACGAAAAACTAGAGTTTGTGGAAGGTTGTGTATACCTCCGGCATTCTGATAGACATGTGGCGCATGGTGTCCAGGAATGGGATGAGGTAGCGCGCACAGTTTGAGGATCATACGTCTTCGAAGTACAACTCCAAATTATATGACGGGATTTTCAGGGAATTCGCTTTTAGTTAAAGCCTCCAAAATTGGTTTGTGATTGTGAAGCACAGCAACACAATATCTCTGCAATTGGCTAGATTTGAACCCGCGGAAAAACCGCATACAATGCTTCTGTCCGCCATTGATCACGGTGCAGAGGAAACCGTCTTGCGCACCGGGAC